TCTTGACCGGCAATCCAAGATAGACTCGAGTGATAACTCAGGAATGACATTAGAGAATGTGATGGGAAACATTGAGTTTCGACATATCAGTTTCAATTATCCAAGTCGACCTGAGGTTCAAGTCCTAAACGATCTATGCCTAGCCATTAGCTCCGGTGAGGTAAATCCTAACGCATTATTCATAGAATCCTTTTCCAGTCTTGTTACGCGATTTGACAACAATTGTGATGTAAACATGTTATCTTTTATGTTAGACGGTTGCTCTGGTGGGAGAAAGTGGGAGCGGAAAATCAACAGTTATTTCCTTGTTGCAAAGATTTTACGATCCGGATTCAGGCCTAATCACATTAGATGGAATAGAAATTCAAAAGCTGAAGGTGAAATGGTTGAGAGAGCAAATGGGACTAGTAAGCCAGGAGCCTATATTGTTCAATGACACAATCAGAGCCAATATAGCATATGGAAAAGAAAGTGATGCCACAGAAGCAGAAATATTAGCTGCTGCTGAGTTAGCAAATGCTCACAACTTCATCAGTGGCTTACAACAGGTACGCCTTAGTCTCAAACAAGTTGGGATCGACTATATAAATCCTCACTTCTTCAGTTAAGCTCAACATTTTCTAGAATTTGCAGACGGACCTAAAATCTACACAAGTATGTCAGACAGATAAAGAATCATCATGTAACATAGACTTAATGTGCAGGGCTATGAAACAGTAGTTGGTGAAAGGGGCATACAACTATCAGGTGGACAGAAACAAAGAGTTGCAATTGCAAGAGCTATAGTAAAATGTCCAAAGATACTACTACTAGATGAGGCCACAAGTGCGCTTGACGTGGAGTCTGAGAAAGTAGTTCAAGATGCACTTGATAGAGTAAGATCAGGCAGAACAACAGTTGTGGTGGCTCATAGATTGTCCACAATTAAAGGAGCTGATGTTATTGTTGTAATCAAAGATGGAGTCATTGTGGAGAAAGGAAATCATGAAACTTTGGTTAATAGACAAGATGGTATTTATGCTTCTCTAGTATCAAAGTCTGCTAGCACTATGAAGTAGTACATAAAAGGGACACCCCGGTGCACAAAACATCCTGCATTCACACAAGTTTCGAGAATTAAGGGCCACAAATCTATGGAGTATGATGTAGGCGGTATACTCCGATTCAAACATCAGTAGTTGATTCTACTGCTTGAATATGTGACCTATATATAGGTCACACAAAGACATGAATAATGAAGCAGTACATGTACTATTTTTTATTTTGTTCTCAATGGTGGTGTCTTGTCTAACTTACACGTACTTCAATTATTTCATCGGATACTTTTTTTTCATTACACCATCCAATAAATACATGACATTTGTCTTCACGTATACTCTTATATATAAACTATAGTTATTTAATACATATTCCGACCTTAATTCTTATTTAACTACTATGAGTAATATGATTCGATGTAAATATCAAGAGTTAGAAACTTAAAGGTGAAAGACATGAGGGGGTTGCAACCTTATATCAAAATATGGATTAAGTCGTATAAAATAATTGGATACATTTTTTATTTATAGTTATAATAGGTTATTACTCTATATTTTACATTATCATATCAGACTTGATATAAAGAGACGTTACTTGCTATTGACTAAAAGTTAGCTTAACTAAAGAAAAAGAATAAGAGTAGTAAGTTGTTAATTTCACACTTGATTAAGGAAAGGAATAAATAATCCTTTTTCAATTTGGAGAATTTTTAAGTCGTGCAAGCAAAGAAACCCCAAAAAGAGATTATTTGCTTGCTCCTAAAGTAACTTAACAAATTCTAAAGCTAATTAGTTTAAGACCTAATCTTTATTTTAATAATTAATAATTTAAGGCTCTAATTAATATCGTATTTTTCAAACTTTGGTAATAAGCAGGTACACAATCAACAATTTTCTTTTTTATGTTCTAGCTTTTTCCTTTGTTATGGTTTAATATGCATATATAATTAATATCTCTAAATATTTTTGCGATCACAAACATTGCACTAAAAAAGAAAAATCTATCGCTACGTACTAAATATCTCTTTTGGTGTAGTGTATATGAACATTACACTAAGGTGACACGAACGTTCATTTATCAACATAACATCAATGAAATTGTTAGAATCCCTCCGCTCTTAATTAAAAGTCTCAGATTCAAGTCCTTCATTAATAGTGAAATTAAAATATAGAAATAACATCTACTAAAAATTTAATACTTCCACCGTTTCAATTTATTTAACCTATTTTAAACGGACATAAAAAAAATAGGATAAACATATTGAAATGGAGGAGTATTTCTTTTAATAAAATATTTCCTAGGATAATTATCTTAACTTTAAAAAAAACAAAAAAAAAGTGACACCGCAGAATCTGCCACGTAATCAATTTCCACATCACCACGTGTCACTTACCTGGCACAATCACAGCCGTCCATTCCCCTAAAACTCAATCGAACAGTTCAACGAACACTACAAACGCGTGGCGGGAATAAGAAAAAGCGTGGGAAACTTAAAACTGTCACAATTTAGCGAGTGTACATGCCACATCATCATCCACCTCATCTTCAACCAATCAAAATCCTCCACGTCAGAAAACAGTTACATCAGTTATTCAAACTTTTTAATTTTTTTTCCTTTATATAATAAAAAAAGGAAGAGAGAAAAATAAATTAATTTTATAAATTAAAGGAAAAAAAAATTCTTGTTCAGTGTAAAGTTGAACAAGAATTTGATCATCATAATGGAAGCCTCTGCCGGAGTTTTACGCCGATTTCCTTCAGTCACCGGCGCCGGTGCCGGAATTAGCAACAGTCCATTGAATCGTAGTTGTAGATTTTCATGTGTTAGTTTGAAATCGGTGAAGAAGGAATTAGTGGGTTGTGAGTTTTACGATGAGGGTTGTTTGGAGTATTATTCTTCTGGTAGAGGTGGAATTATTAGGTGTGGGAAGAAGAAGAAAGAGAAGGATATGGGGGAGTTGAAGAAAACGAAGAAGAAGATGAAATTACTTAAGGGTTTGACCAGGAATTTGTCGAATTTGAATGAGATGGGATTAGGGTTTGGTTGTGATGTTGATTTGGTTGATCAAGTTCAAGGGAAGACAATTTCGGTAAGTTTTTTATGAATTATGCTTACTAGCTTTAGCAATTATACATAGCCTTGTTGCATCGGCTTCATCTGAATGAAGTACTTTCGATCAATCGAAAAAATACTATAGGATCAAAGCTAGAGTTTAAAAATCCTGGATCCGTCTCTGATTATAGGCTTAGCCTTTGCTATATGTGGTTTAGGTGAAGTTCATGTGAAATTTATAGCAATTTGTAAAAGCTTAGATCTTACTAGACATTGTTGGCAAAAAGATTGAAGTTTTCGAAGTGGGACATTGAATGATTGTTGCAGTGTTATCGATTTTGTTGATTAGTAATTTTGTTTAACATGATTTGCACTTTTAACAGCATATTTTGGTTAATCCTCCAATGTGAACCCCTTCCCCTGTTGTTGATTTGCTAAGTTTAGTTAGTAGGATTGTAGGAACACACAATTGTGTGAATGATTTCGATGGAAGTGCGATTTTGTTGTAGTAGATTTAGTTATAATTACAAAGGATGTTGCTTTTCTAGTTTATTTATGTTGTTGTTTCTCTCTATGTAGGAGGCGGCGGATCTATTGCTGGGACAGCTTCAACAGCTAAAGGCAGAGGAGAAGGAGTTGAAGAGGAAAAGAAAAGAAGAAAAAGCACAAATGAAGATGAAAGTAGCAGCAAGTCAAGTACATAGCAACACAAGGAGCTGTGCAATGTCATCATCTTCAAGCTCGTCTTCAGAATCGAGTGAATCAAGTGATGATGAATGTCAAAATTTGGTTGACATGAAAAGCCTGAAAATCGGAACACTTGCTCAAACAATTCCTGAAGCGTGTGATCGAGCACTTGAGAATGCAACACTAAATCCTTTCCTTTCAACTCCAGAAGTGGATACAACAGTAGAGATCTCAAGCATGCCATCAACTTCCATGGAGGAATCAACTGGGAAGACAACAAGTTTAGAATTTTCAGTCCCTGAGCAAAAAGGCGAATGCTGCTTGGAAGCTAGTGATTGTCACATTGGCAATGTAGGCAGCAGTATCACTCTAGGCAGCAGTAGGTCTAATGTATCATCTATAGCAGCAGCTACAACAATAACAGCAGAGGGGACAAAGAGAATCGAAGTATGTATGGGTGGTAAGTGCAAGAGATTTGGCGCTGGAGCGTTATTAGAAGAATTCCAACGCGTTGCTGGGATTGAAGCTGCAGTGTCTGGTTGCAAATGCATGGGTAAGTGTAAAGTTGGTCCTAATGTCAGAGTTTCAGGGTGTAGCAGCAGCTCGGACGCCTTCCAAGTCGGTGACTCGGTTGCTGTTAGCTCTACTCCAACTACTAGTAACTCTCTATGTATTGGGGTTGGCTTAGAGGATGTGAGTCTAATTGCAGCCAATTTACTTGGCAGATATCAAGAAGTAGGGCTGGCTAATGCTTTGCCTTAAATGTTCTTTTCTTTCATTAGCAATATAGTAGGTAGGTTTTTTGGGATTTTGGCAATGAGTTTGAATCTTTTTATGTTATGTAAATATCAGCAATATAGATAAAGTTTGCTATTTATGTGAATACTATCATTATATAGTGAGATTATTCTTTTTATATTTGGTATAAATTTTGATTTAAGTCCTTGTGATGTTTCATTTAACATATTTAATCTTCAAATGATTTGAATTGTGTATTTTTGAACACCTTTACTTGTAAATCTTAACAAATGTAACATAATTGCTAATTGCCTATTAACATATTTTCTATATGAAGGACTAAACACACTCATTTTAGGCCATGAAATGTGCTGCCCATTTTGATATTCGAGACAGGCAAAAAGGCGATAAAAATAGTTAGAAACAAAAAATGTTTTCACCATAAGCTGCATCTCTAACAGCTCTACATCTATTCAGACAAATATGAGGGAATACACCATACTACTTGCTAAACAGTATCATATACTAGTCGAATATACACATCTCCAATCTCCTCTAATGTGTATAGAGATGGGGGTTTAATATTTGTTCTTGAGTGGCTTAATCACGACAGTGTTTTTTGCTGGGATCCTGAGGTGAGTTATTACAACGCTTTATGAAGGAGTCGAGGGTCTTCTGTTTTGAAGGGCTGCTGTGGGACTGATTAGTCGAAACTTCCAATGATTTCTCCTGGCCATCAAGCATCTGTCATATACAGTTATAGCTTTATTAGCTTAGGGTGTCAGTTTTGTACCTTAAGTATTCAAGCACAAAAAGAATTAAGTAGAAGAATACCTGTCCAAGGTTGTCTAGCTTGCTCTGAACGACATCCCTGTACAAGAGACGTAAACATAGCCATTACACCATAGTTTCTACATTTGGTATCGTCCAGAGTTGAATAAATTGGAAATCTCTACTAGTAACAAGGGAACATACCAAATTATGTCATCAACAGTGTCATTCGCCAGCAGATAACACACATTGACAGAGGAAACCTAGAAAGGAAGTTTGTTAAAAGTTCTGACTCTGGAGTTCTTAGATACTTGGCTCTTCTGATAAATGGACACACAGAGGCACCCATAAACTCAGTAGTTAAACAAAAGCATTGGAATCCAGACAGGTAATACTGAAACACCGCAAATGAATCAGTGTCTTACTTTTTTTTTTATAAAGACAAATGAATCAGTGTCTTGCTGTTTATAATCATTTTATTTTTCTATTTTTGGGTGCATCAAGTGCTAAGGAACCATCAAGAGCTTATGTCAAAGATGAATTTAAGGACTCTGCAAACGAGCACTGTAATGGATGAAGCTGGAGTTGGACATCAATGAGTTTCATTGCCAAGACTGCTTAATCACACACACATTCCTAATATACAAAGCTCAAGTGGAAAGAGAGTCATGGAGAGGGTGATTCTTGAAGTAAAGTAGTGTGGTCAATACTGGCCATTGAATATCTGAGCTTGCAGCAACAGAAACCTAGCCAAGCCAGGCATACTAGCAGATTTGAAAATAATTCAAGCAGAGAAGTCATCCTGAAACAATTATACAACATTCTGTAGCTCACCTGGCCAATTCTGTGAGCTCGATCCTCGGCTTGAATAAGGTCACCTGGTGTCCATGATAATTCTGCAAATATCACTGTGCTTGCTGCTGTTAATGTTAACCCAACTCCCCCAGCTCTGATGGAAAGCTACAATACAATAGTTAAAACAATATTATTTTCCATCCTACATAATCTCACTTTCCAACTGTATTTAAGGATCGATAAGGAAATCATTCCAACAGTAAAATTACGCTGTTTTGACTAATTATAAACAGATTAATGACATTACCACTGCAGCCTTAATTGTTTCTTTTTCCTGAAAATCTGTCACCAAATCTTGTCGTAATGCTGATGGAGTGCTGCCATCAATCCTAATACAACCAACCTTCTTCTTCTGCAAAACAAGGGAATGTTCAAGTAGTCTATAATTCTCAAAATATACTAAAATATGAAAAACTTACAAGTAAATACTCATGTATTGAATCAATCATTGATTGATGATGTGCAAATATCAGGAACTTGCAGTTTGCCTGCATGTTTGAAGAAACCAAGAAGCATAAAAAGAGTATCAAAGTTTATATGAACAAGCAAGAAGTGAGCATATTGGAGAAGATGTGCAACTGCTCTACACACAAAGCATAAATCGTTGTCAGAAAAAAGGACAGTAGCATTTTGCATGTCTGAGCACTCTTTGGTTAAATGATAGAACTGATATGAGGACCTTCCAAGCATTGCTTAACAGCTTGAACCTTGCACTTGACTCGAAAGTAGTTTATATGAGAATTTGTACATTTAGACAAGTCTTAGTTGACCTGTGTTGTCATTAGCCAGGCATCAGATACCTAGAACTCAAGTTGAAACTTAGTTGCTTTGAACTCATTGAGTTACAACAATGCTCCCAATATCCTAATTTATCTATAGGTCATTAGGTTGTGTATCTGGTACTGTAGTTTATTTTCTTCTATCTAACATAAATGCAATAACTTCGAAATTTGAAAGCCAACATTTTCTGATGCTATCTTTCTCTATTGCTCTTCAACATGAGAACAATATATTCCCTTTCCTCGCAGATGATATTGTTTTCTAAACCAACATGATGAAAGATATAAATAAAGAACACTTCAATAGAGAAGTTGGAGATGCTTTCACTTTGTATTCTGAATATCTAGGATGTAGAAGACACAAAAAATCATCTCACCTCAACCATGGTTCCTAGGTAATCCAAAACTGCTGGAATTTTGGCCTCAGCGGAGGCAGTGTAAATCTGCAGCCCACAAGCAAAGTATAGGGGTTAAAACTCTAGTAAAATTTATCAATTCTAGCAATAAAGCAGCCAATCAAGCTTTAGAAAAAAAGAAAATAATCCAAAAAATTGGCAGTGAGCACAATAAGAAACAAGAATGAAATGTCAAATTTCATTATTATAGACCAGCAATGAAAGAAATACGGTGGCCAGGGGATAAGAAATGCATCTTGGGCCAAACTCAACCCCAAAAGCTAGCTCATGAGGTGAGGATTGACACAACAATATAAAGAGACCTTCACATCCCTAATTAGCAGATGAGGGAACTCAACCCCCTTCCCCGCACACCCATGCCTGCCAACTGGAGCATAGATAGTTTAATATGGGGGTCCAACATTGGGCAAACCAAGAATTGGGATGGGTCTAATACCATGTGAACAATTAGAATAAGGTGGAGAAAACTCAGGTTGATTATTCCATCAAGTCATTTGGATTTAAATAGCCAAGTGGACATGTTCTCAGCAAGAAAAGAGAATCAAATACATAAGTAGTTAATTACAGGGAGTAAATCATACTTAATATATTTACAAGATACTAGAAGATTCTAAAGGAATATATTAATAATAGTAGGAATATGGAAGAAGCATTGGTATCTGCTGGCATTGAACATGAATTGTTCAGAAAACAGATCTTTTAATGTTTGGGGGAAGAGAAGTCATAGCTTTTCCTTCGACCTGGTTTTCAACCTCCTAATTGAAATAAGTTGTAGATAAGAAGAGATGCTATGATCTAGGGTCCTCCTTATTTGAATCTTCTACCTACAGGTAAGACATGCATGAGACTAGTCATGGAAATGTGATCCACTAGCCTCATAAGAGGGAAAGCTTCTCAAACCACCTGCACACAGGAGCACTATTCTAACAGCAATTTTTTTTGGAGAAAGGGATACTTTGTGAGTCAATTCTCAAGGATCATGAGACAAAGAGAAGCATATTATGCAGTAAGACCAGATATAATATTTTCAAGAGTCCTTGATATAGTGATCAGCTCTCAAACTGATAAAAGAAATAAATAATCAGGACAGAAGTTTGCAAATGTACCTTACTGATGAGGCTCTTCTCTGCAAACTTGAGAGAATTAGCCTCCTCCTCGGACTGAGCTGATTTACCTTTCCCCTTAATGACCTCTAACTACAGGACACAACATTAGATTAAGTAAATATCTTCCTCAGAAATCAAGGAAAATCAGGTATCATTATTGAAGACAGTTCATTACAATCTTTGGACAGGGAGTATCAGACATCATTTACTTAACTAAATTCCTATCTTTAAATTCAAATTAAGAAAAGGAAGTTTCAGAAATGAGTAATAGAATATTAAGTGTCCTGTTTGAAATACCACAGCAAGTGTTAAGGTATTCACAGTTGAAAAGTCAAAGAGGTTCCGGAAGAATTGAAGTCATTCAACGCATAAACTTAGACGATAAAAGAATGCAGAGGAAACAGCACTTCTGGTTAAAAGCCCATTCAAATTTTAGGGTGGGCAGGGGATACAAAAGTGTAATCACAAAGGTATTCAAGAGTACCTCACGAAATAGAGCATTAACTTGTCTCATCTCCTTCTCCCCCAAGTTTAGGAAAACCTGCAATAAAGTGACAGAGAATGAGATGAAGTCATGCAGCTAGAACCATCACATGTAAGCCTAAAATTTATACATGTTGCCTCCGTTTCTGAGGGAGTTCAGAAAGGACATCCTTTTTTAGTCGTCGAATCATCACTGTTGCTTTGATTAAACTGTGCAGCTCTTCATGATTACTTGCGCCTTGATAAACTCCAAAGATGCCCTAGAATGTTCAGCAAACCTGTTAGAGCACTTCTTAATTATTGTAAGATCTCAGAGGCGGCTTCCGATCCAGGAGAATTTTGACTTACACCCTTGCAATAGCGGTTGCCATATTCGTGCACGTTCTTATATACAGTAGGATGCAAGGCCTCGAGCTGTGAAACCACACAATTTTAGCTCACAAACCCCCAACAAATAGAACTTCAATTTGAAACTCGACTGCCATTATTAACTGTATGCGGAGCCTAATACATAATTGATCATAAAAGCTGAACATATACCTGTTTGAATAGTTCAATTGGCCTTGATAAAGCAGGAGTTCCACTGAGCAATATCACATACTGAGCTTTCTGCAGCAGTCAACATGTAAGTTCATCAGGACCACTCGTACCACTTATACATTTGGTGAAAATGTATGCTCATCAACTTGGATGGGAATATCAAACCAATTTTGTTTTGCAAGTTTGTTATTCAAGATCCATTTGTCCATGGTCCAACTGATACTTTTTGTTTCTTTTCTTTTCTTGTTCATTTCGATGTATTCTATACTGGAGAAAGCTTTAGACAAAGTCACAAAGGAAGAGCTTGTGTGGAATTCTCTGCTGTAAATTGTATCTTGAAATATTATTGCATACAGTTCAGGGTGGTGCACCAGACTAATTGATGTGTGCCTCTTTTCACAAGTGATATATCCATTTACTTTCTGTTTAAATGGATGAAGTTAACACTAAGAAGTATCAAGAGATGCCTCCATGTAGTGATATGGCCGTCTACATTTTTTCTTTTTTTTCTGAAAAGTAATACTTCCATTGACTTACCGTTAGATAAGAACTCAATATAGACCAACTCCCACCCCCTGAACACAGAGAAAATGCATGCAGACCATTTCTTTATAAAAGAAAGGAAAAGACCTGTAATAAGGGAAGGGAAGCACTGGTTCTTTTTGCTTGGGCATTTTTCAAGAAGTGTGATTCATCTGCTATAACAACCTGAATAAACAAATCATCACGGATAACAATCATTAAGTAGCATGAAAATGCAACCGTGACATCCAACACAATGAACTTACCCTAAACAAAATAATCAAGAGCATAGATAAGTATCAATATCCAAACATTGAAGATCTTAAACATTGTATTGAAGTAACAGTATGGGACCAGTAAGCCTCTTGTATTTACTATCTGTTAAGAAAATGGGTCCAGGGTCTAATTCAACTCCAAAAGCTAGCTCATGAGGTGATAACTGGCCAAGACCATACAAGGTGACAACAATCCACTTCCACTATCAATGTGGGATAACACCCCCTGCATGCCTCGAGCTGAACAATAACCCATTTCCTCCATCATGAGGGATACTTGACACTAATTATTTTCCAATTGTCTTTTTGATAGCTCAAAAAATTTAAAAGTTGTTAATATAAAAGTATAAAAGCAGCACATGAAAGTGAACCAATTAAGTGTTGCCACTGAAGCAGTAAAAGTGTATCCAAGCAAATAAGAATAGAATGAATTCCAGATAACAAAAAGGTTCTTTGATTTCCTGGATAGGGTTCTACAGCCCATCAAAAAGTCATCTATCATTTCCTCTAAGTAGTCCACCCAACATAACAAGGAGCGACCTCAAACAAAATTCATCGAGCCTTAACTTAGTAAAATGAAATGGCAATTTATGTCAACTGCATTGCAATCGTTATATAATAAAAGGGTATCCAAACAAGTAAGAATGGAACAAAATCCAGATAACTCAATGGTCCCTTTAGTTTTCTGTCTTGTTATATCACTTACAAGAAATAGACAAACACATATAGATCCATGCATCAAGGTCTATCAAAAGATGAGTTACGAAGGATTCAGATTGTTCAGGTATAAGAAGGTTGAATATAGCTGATGCCAAACCTTGTATATAATGTACTGCACTTACCTTAAATGTTGATGCCATAAGTAAATCTTGAAGCTTAGGTACAATGTCATATGATACTATGTTGAACACACCATCAAGGTGAATGGACTTCTTAGTGTTTGAAGGAACTATTTTAAATCCTCCCTTATTTGAACCGCTGCATTGAGATAAAACTACCTATATATAAAATAGAAGAAAAAAAATTAATTATCAGGGGACTGGAAATGCAACAAGCTTGTAATATTACAGTAAATGCACTTCTAGTGGCATTAACACTTTGCAGGTTCCATTGCATGGAAATGTAAAAATGTTAATCAACTCATACTAACCTAGTGCCTGAATAGCAACAAAAAGCCTCTCATAATCCACATCAAAGTAGGCTGGGTAACAGAATGAGATTATGGTGATGAATTAAGCGTGCAAAGTAGTCCATCAGAAACTTTTGCACCACAGAAACATCAAAAAATTTCCCCTTAGAAATTAGTTTCTTTACATATATAACAATATGGTAGACAAAGAAGATAGGGTGCAATAAATGTTTCTTTTAGAGGGAAAAGTAGTATTTTCAATCCAATTTGTTGAATGAACTTAAAAGACTAGAAGGCAGCTTCTGCCTTAAAAGAGATTTGTCAATAGAAAAGATTGCTCTTAATACCAAATGAAGAAAGCATCTATGCCAATCATCTACACTAGTACGGACCTGGTGTGTGCACCAAAAAGAAACTAAAAACATGAGGTTGTTCCTCAAGTATAGAATGACATTCTCAACCCCATCAAATGTTCTCCTAGTCCTCTCTTTCCAAATCAGCCACATAAAGGCTAAAGGAGCAACAAGTGGCTAGGCGAGAAGCATAAAACCCATTGCTAATATGCTGAGGCAACTGAGGTTTCTAATAGGAAATGCTTTTATACCATGTAGAAAATCTGAAGGGTAAAAAGAATAAAGAGAACAAATTTTGTGTACTGTAAAACTTGATTTCATGAATACAAGGAAATACTCATTTAATTGGATGGTGAAGCAATCAAAGATCCGAAGTTAATAAAAAAAGAAATCATAGACTTCTACCAGAAGCTATATTCTGAAACTGAGACTTGGAGACCCTCTGGTGGCTGCAGGGAAGGGCACAAAATTTCTGAAGAAGACAATAGGATGCTACAGGGGGAATTTGAGAACCAAGAGATATGGGAGTGTGTAAAGCTTTGTGCTGGAGACAAAGCTCCTGGTCCAGATGGTTACACCATGGCCTTCTATGCCCACTGTTGGGAGGTTGTTGGAGAGGAAGTCATTGCTGCAGTAAAAAATTTCTATGAGAGAGGTTTCTTTGAGAAAAGCTTCAACTCCACCTATGTGGCATTAATTCCCAAAAAGATGGGTGCAAAAAAACTCACAGATTTTAGACCCATTAGCTTAATTGGCAGTGTGTATAAAATAATCTCTAAGGTGCTTACTGAGAGGCTTAAAAAGGTTATGAACAAGCTAGTGGACACACAACAACTTGCTTTCATTAAAGGAAGACAGATCATGGATGCTATTTTGATGGCTAATGAATGTGTGGATTCTAGGATTAGAAGCAAGGTGCCAGGCATTCTATGCAAGCTGGACATTCAGAAAGCATATGACCATCTCAACTGGAATTTTTTGCTGGAGACCTTATCCAAAAGAGGTTTTGGTGGTAGATGGGTGAGATGGATAAAGTTTTGCATCAGTACTGTGAAATATTCTATTCTAATCAATGGCTCTCCTACAGGTTTCTTCTCTTCACAGAGAGGATTAAGACAAGGAGACCCTCTGTCTCCTTTCTTATTCATTATAGCTATGGAGGGACTCAATGATATGTTGAAGATTGCTCAAGAGAAACTATGGTTGAGGGGCTTCACAGTATCAAATAGGGTGGGTTGTGACATGGAGATTACACACTTACAATATGCTGATGATACTCTGGTTTTCTGTGATGCCAACAGAAACCAACTGATGGTTCTCAGAGTCATATTCGTGCTATTTGAAGCCTATTTGAAGCCATATCAGGACTACATATCAATTGGGAAAAAAGCTTCCTATACCCAGTGAATGAGGTCATCAATCTAACCTCTCTGGCTGGTACACTTGGGGGGAGGACTGGCGAATTACCAACTGTATATTTGGGCATGCCACTAGGAGCAGAAAGCAAGTCTTCAGGAATCTGGAATGAGGTGGTCGAGAAGTGTGAAAGAAGATTGGTGAGCTGGAAGAGTCAATATCTCTCCTTTGGCGGGAGACTCACTCTCATCAATAGTGTTCTTGACTCCATGCCTACCTACATGATGTCTATCTTTCCTATCCCAGATGGGGTCATTAACAGACTTGATGCAATAAGGAGGAATTTCCTATGGGAAGGAAACAGTGACACTAAGAAATTCCACTTGGTTAAGTGGGATAAATTGATTGGGAGCAAACAAAAAGGAGGTCTTGGGGTAAGGAATTTGAAGATTCAGAACCAAAGCCTTATGATGAAATGGCTATGGAGACTAGCTTCCAGTGAACATGCACTATGGAAAGAACTTATCAAGCAGAAGTATGAAATGGAGGACCACTGGTCTACCAAAATGGTCACTAGTACTTATGGAACTAGCATCTGGAGGGCCATCAGAAATTTCTGGCCAAAATTAAGAGAAAATTGCAGCATTAAAATTGGAAATGGCATGAAGGTCTCTTTCTGGGAGGACAGCTGGTTAGAACAAGGCTCTCTAAAAACCCTCTTCCCAGATATCTACATTCTGAACCAGCAACAAAAAGACATTGTGGCAGAAGTTTGGTCAAATCAGGGATGGAATTTGAGTTTTAGAAGGCCCCTAAATGATTGGGAGATCCAAAGACTAGTAGATTTCTTTGGAATCCTTGAACAATTCAAAGGAACTTCTACCTCCCAAGATGGATTGTTTTGGAATCATAACTGCAACGGAAATTTTAGTGTGAAGGAAGCTTACAAAAAGTTCAACTCTTTCACCCATCAGGTTACTGGCTGGCCATGGAAACTTATCTGGAAAGTTAAAATACCTCCTAAAGTGTCCTGCTTCACTTGGCTACTAGCAAAGCAGGCTGTTTTGACTCAGGAGAACCTCATGAAAAGGGGTATCCACCTGAGCCCTAGGTGTTTCCTGTGTGGAGAAGAGGCTGAAACAGTCAATCACCTCTTTCTTCACTGTAGGATCACTAATATTTTGTGGAGCATTTTCATCAATTGGAAGGACCTTTTTTGGGTGATGCCAAGAAATATTGTCCAGGCCCTGAAGATATGGAGTAGCTTTGCCTACATTTCTGGTCATAAAGAAAGATGGAAGATCATCCCCACCTGTATCTGGTGGTCTGTGTGGAAAGAGAGGAACCTCAGATGCTTCCAGAACAAAAGTAACAGCATCCAGAAGATGAAGTTGAATTGCTTGGTTTTATTTCATTTTTGGTGTAAACAGGAGTATATGGAAGATCTAGAATCAGTAATGAATGCTTTAGGCACCTTGTAATTTTTGTTTATTTAGGATTGAAGATCTTCCTGATACTCTCCTTTTATTTGTAATTAGTAAACCTGTAACAAGTTGTGGCAGGTTGGTTTTTTTGGAATATAATACAAGACTGTTACCTTCTCAAAAAAAATAACGCGGAAACACAACAAATGAAACCATATTAATTAGGTTGACCAACACTATTTTTTAAGATTGGCACCTTATTGCTGTCCTTGACTTTCAGTTATCCTTAACATTTTATGTTTTTTGTTTCATTTTCTTGTTATTACAACTTCTCCATAATTTATCAACCAATTAATCATATCTGAAGAAAGTTTTGACATTTAAAACATAAGAACAAGAAATTCCAATGATTTAACATCCTTAAGTATTCACCACGGCATGAATTATCACAAAACTTGCTGCAATATACTAAATATTTATACCACCAAATTAAACTAATTCATTATATACATCTTTTTTCCTTGTGTAACAACAAAAATGTGAAATTTTTACTTGAAATGAAATTGAGGATATCTAGGAACTCGAGTGAACTCTTTCATGAGAAAACAAGGATTGTGTAGAGCTAAATTTTGAAGTACACCTAACTTCCCAGATTGAATTGTAAAGACTAATGCAGGCAACATGATACTAAATGCATTTGTGAAAATCATTATATTTAGATCTCAAGATAATTGATAAGTATAAAACATCAAACAACTCACTCCATCTTCACAAAAATAGTAAAAAAGGTATTGAACCATACAAGTATTTCCGATGACGGAATGTTCATCCACTGTTGAATCATCTGCATTAAAGCACCAAAGACGGTGATAATAAGGCAAAACTACTGATAATTTACAAATATTAACTTGACTTACCGAAGCCCAGTGAAGCCGTAAGGCAGATGGAGCAAGAACAAGAACTGGCCATGATTCACGGACACATGAAACCACAGCGATAGCCTGCAATGTAAGCAGAAATTCAGCATGTACGATATACAGAGATAGGGTAACCAAAGATGCATGTCAAAGAGAATTCTGATTATAGGAACTTGATTATACAAATATGTCATACTTTTGGTCTTATGTGTATCAGTTATGGATTGAGGAATATAAACACATGCTAGCTGAAAATCAAAACTACCTATGTCAAATATAGTTGTGATTTGAAAGAAACAAAAATAATCTTCTGCCAAGGCATATTTAGGTAGTATATAGTAACAGCATAGTTTCTTATTCTCCAATGTGTATCACTATTTGTTGCTTCATTTACTTTGAATCTTGCTAATTTGCTATCATATTTCTTGCAACCATGCTTTGAATGCTCCTCTTTGAGCTGAGGGTCTATCCAAAACAACCTCCCTGCCCCCCCAAAGGTAGGGGTAAGGTCTGCGTACTTCCTACCACCCCAGTCCCTACTCTTGGGATTATACTGGGTTTCTTTGTTGCTGTTGTTTAGCTGTTGTGAGTTAGATCTAGTCATTTGGATGCAGCAATGGCATCTCGAGGTATCTCTTATGGTTAGATAAAAGTAATGCGAGTGCTCATACAGATGTCAGGAAACGAGTAACACCATTTCTCCACGGGGATCAAATATCAACTAGTTATGCGAAATAATTTAAGCAACCAACCCAAAACCTTAAGGCAATGGATGCAAGGCCCAAGACCTTTACAAACCCTTTGGAAGCCCTTACACAATTCAAACACTTCAGTGCTTACGACCTCATTTTGGGGTTTACACATGAACTTCAATATGGCTTTCAGGTGTGAGAATGGGCTTACCAAAGGTTGGCTCTGCTACTATGTGAAAGAATTTGAATGTCTAATCCAATTTTAAAAGGCAAGGACAGGGTCTGTTAGAAACCTCCATACAATCCATAAGGGAATTTTAATAACTCAGCAAGCTATCAAGCTAGAACTTAGGACATAAAGTAGGACATCATAGGAAAAAACAACTCCATATCAAATATAGTAAAAGGCTGCAACCTAAATGAATAGTCAATACAAACTTGATATTGTCGTTATATGAAAATATCATCATGTAGCAGGTAAATGACTATAAACTAACATCTTTGACATAGTTTTAGCCACAACCTGAAGAGTCTTTCCAAGTCCCATCTCATCAGCCAACAGGATACGCCCTCCATGTTGTAATGCAAATCTAAATAGGAAAACGTTAGCCTTCCGTTTCTAGTCAAAGAACAACATGCCCTTTCTCTCGGTCATATTGACAAATAGAGGGAAAAACTCGAAAACTTTAAAAGAGTTGTATAACATACCTAACCCCTTCACGTTGAAAAGGCAAAAGCTTTGTTTCAATACTATTTGGAATAAATTCATAATGATCTGGTAAAAAAAGAGGAATTGAATAAGCATACTAAGCTAGACGAACTGTCCTTCTATACAAAATGAATATTTTAGTGATATATAAAAGCAGGTGTTACATAGACGAGGATAAGATGTCCTTCTATAAAATTCTAGGAAACAAGAGCGTAATAAAAAAATATGCTAACATGACCCTTCCAATATGAACTGTATAAGATCTAATAAGGATGTTTATGAAGGTCTAAGGATATTCCACTAGTTGCCTTCAGCATTTGATTACATATTCAGATTCTTTCACATGGAATCATGATCAACCTGTGCCAAGTCAATTCTCACTCTCATAAGTCTACATTGAAGTTCACTTGTGAACCCAGAAATCATTTTATACTTGCAGAAGTGAGTTGAGTTACAACTTGACCTAAATGGATTGGGATTCCAAAGGTGCTTAAAGATCTTGAGAAACTCAACCATTACCTTAATGTTTTGGATTGGATGCTCAACTTCTTTCACAATATATACCATCAGAAGGAATGTCTTATAGGTATTGAGAGCAATGCATTTAGCAAACCAACATCAAATACATGGGCCTAAAATGAAACAAGAACCAGCATACAAGAATTTATTTAAGGTGGTGTTGAACCAGTTGTTCAACCTGTGCATCGTCTAATTCTTGAATTTACTCTCCCTATTCTGATCAGTAATCTCATCGCAAACACTAGAAGAAAGATGGTGCAATTTCTGTTATTTCTTTGCTAATCTGTTTAATGATAAGCATCACCATGGAATCTTCATGGTAGTAATCAAGCAGAGTAGCAGTGATAATTTTACCACGAAGGTCAGGCATCACAGAAGCAGCAGCAATGGCACGTTGCACCAGAGGATCTAAATTCTCCAACTTGCATGTAAAAGATGAACCAAACATTAGCTTGCTTGAATGAGGAGCGAAAAAGGATTTAGGATATTTAAGTTCCAGCTTCTATGGGAAGAAAAATATGCACAAGGTCCACCGAAGCTAACTCCTAATAGTTTTGTAGTCTCATCTGAAGTTGGGAAACTGTAATTCCGGGAGACCAAAAGGATTTGAAATCCTTACCTCTAGATTGGAGCCAGAAATTTCATGGAGAACTTTTTCTGCTACAGACAACGATGACAAAGGAAACATCCACAACCTGCAACAATTAAGAGGCAGTCACTACATTTAAATTTCGAAATTATCCCTGCAAAACATGATTTAAGATTCTTGGCCAACCCACATTCTAACATGGATAACACCAGAACAACAACATCCCCAGTGTAATCTCACAAGTGGGGTATGGGGAGGGTAGGATGCACGCAAACCTTACCCCAACCAATAGACCCTCGGCTCAAAAGAAGTGTAATCATAACAGGATAGAAAGGAAAATAACAACAACAAATAGAAAGATAAACAAAACAATCGAAGTAACAGTTAGTAGTAAAATTGAAGAAAAAAATACCATGCAAATACAAGGTAAGACTACTGAATAAGAAAAAGATGAGAAAAGGAGGCTAGCTCCCTGCCTCTCCCTCAGGATTCAGGAAAGTACTAAAACACACAACTACCTGCTACCCTTCTACCCTAATCCTCGACCTACAAACTTAACAAATATTGATTGTGTTAAGGATGGAGCTATTCAAGAGATGGGAGAGTAGTACTTCCCAGAAAACAAATATTCTTTATCCTTTCCTCCTTTTTTACAATTCTGATTGCAAATATACTTGGACATCCACAATAAGGCAGTTTAAAGTCACAAGAAAAAAGAATAAAATGAAAATGTATTTGCTATCAGTTTGTGTACTTGGGTGGAATCGCAGAAAACATTGCTTTTTGTTCTTTTAGACTTTAAATTCCCATATCTCCTCTTTATCGGGGTTTATTGGAAATGAGGATTCATTTTGCTGACCCTAACTAGTTTGGTAGTGTTGTTGTCATGGCGTTGGGGGGTGGGGGGTGGGGGGGTTGTGTACCAGCAGTTCTGTTGCCTGCCTAGACCTATTTGTAAGGAAAAGCAAGACTGAGGGCAGAGGGAAGCATAACAAAGAAAAGGACAAGAATACCTCTCTTTTGCACTCCAACTAGCTTTAGGGATTTTACGGCAAGCTTCAACAAGTATCTGGTAGAAAATAAGGTCCACATTGTTTCAAAAAACCAAAAAGAAACTCTTCAACAAAATAATGCAAGTAGGCCAATAGCTACCTGGTCATATGAAAACTTTGCTGCAATATTTCCACTCGCATGAAGAAAAAATTTAACCGAGCGTTTTTCTGTTAGCTGTTTCACGTGATTGTCATTATGAGGCCCAGAATTTCCAACAGAGTTTTTCCCTTTAATTATTTGTCGGGGGGTTTTGGAGGACAGGCATACAGGAGTCAGGAAGATTGGAAAATCAGATATAAGCACCTTAAGATGGAAAATGCAAGAAACTCACCAGAGACCTTATCATATCCTGACGAAGGTCTTATTATAGGTGCAGCAGAGAACACATCTTCCTGCAGCAGAACCCAATAAGCTAATAATTTAGTTACTTATCAGAAAAAGCCTAATACTTTAGCTCAAGTTGCACCAGCACATAAATACAGTTACATAACATGGATGCCAAAGTTGCTAAATTCTTCAAAGATGCCACAAAAACACACTAAAACATGCAAATATCCGTAACCTAATGTGTCAAACAATCTACACTTTCAATCTAAAACCTTAAGAACATAGGTCGAAATAATCCAAAAACATACCCAATGTAACCCCAAAGTGGGATCTAAGGAGGGTTAAGTATATGCAGACCTTACCCCTCCAACAGAGTTAAAGAGGTTGTTTCCCATAAACCCACTGCTCAAAGAAAAGCATATCAAAGCAAATCGAAAAACTAAATAACGAAATTGAAGAAATCACAGCAAAATACTACAGAAACCATAATAAACCATTCTAAACAAAAAAAAAAGGAACAATAATTACAACAAAATAGTGTAATAATCGAACTACAAAATACAATAAGACACTAACAGAAATCAAACAAAAGTTGAAAAATACCAAATGGGTATCACCGAAAACATGAGTAGAAATGAAACTGACCCTTTTATATGAAACCCCAGAACCATTACCATCTCCTTGAAGGCGAGACGAAACAGTTGATTGCAAACAGGAACTCGTCGTAGCAGAAGAAGAAGATGCATTTCGCTCAGCAATTTGCCTTAGGGCATCTCTTTCAAGTTTATCCAATTCCTCTGCACTCAATTCCCAATCATCAAAATCCATTTTTTCCTTCTTCTTCTCCAAAACTCCAATTTTTTGAATTTCAAGAACTGCTGCCGGTTTTTTTTTCAAATTTTGGGGGTTTTGCTGTAGATATTTGTCCTGTTTTTTCTTGTTGAGTTTTCAACCAAATTTGCCCCATAAGTTTGAGGGTAGGTCTCATTTCATCCTTATACTATTAGTTTGAGCATTTATTGTCCACTTAACGACGACTAAACCGAATGTACGAAGCTAAAGTTCTTTCCAATTTTTCGCCTTCTAGTTTAGTAGTTTTTGGATTAGCTTTCGTGTTTTTCATTATACGTCTTTATTGAGAAAGACCTAGCCCTATACTATTAGTTTGAGCATTTACTATCCTTTAAGTTTGGTAAAATTGAGCATATTTTATCCACTTAACGACGACTAAACGGAATGCACGAAGCTAAAGTTCTATTCGTTTTTTCGCCTTCTAGTCCACAATTGTCGGATTAACTTTTGAGTTTTTTATTATACGTCTTTATTGAGAAAGATCTAGATATAAATTTATAGTTGTCGTGATGGTGCAACTGAATATTGATATGAAATATTGAGTATATAAGAATTGAATAATAAACAATTATTTTAAATATTTACGACCAAGAAGTATTGAATTTTCTTTCAAATAGGTAGGTCCTCATAGGTCAAAAGAAAATGTAGGTTGAAATGTTGATACGCCTCTATTATATTGAATTTATCAGATAGTCCCCAATAATAATTGCTCAATGTGATACTTGAAGGACATAGTTCGACCTAACTTCTAAATTAGATGGAACGTACACTACTATTATAAACAAAAACAAAGAAGAACATGTACTACTTCATAGTTTGTCTCCATGTGACTTGTAGGTCACGAGTTCAAGCCGTAGAATCAGTCACTGCCACCACATCATATACATTGGTTTGCTGCCCTTTCTGGAACTTGTGTGAATGCGGGATGTTTTGTGCACCGAGCAGCTCCTTATATGTACACTACTTCATAGTGCTAGCAGACTTTGATACTAGAGAAGCATAAATACCATTTTGTCTATTAACCAAAGTTTCATGATTTCCTTTCTCCACAATCACTCCATCTTTGATTACAACAATAACATCAGCTCCTTTAATTGTGGACAATCTATGAGCCACCACAACTGTTGTTCTGCCTGATCTAACTCTATCAAGTGCATCTTGAACTACTTTTTCAGACTCGGAGTCAAGCGCACTTGTGGCCTCATCTAGTAGTAGTATCTTTGGACATTTCACAATAGCTCTTGCAATTGCAACTCTTTGTTTCTGTCCACCAGATAGTTGTATGCCCCTTTCACCAACTACTGTTTCATAGCCCTGCACATTAAGTCTATGTTACATGATGATTCTTTATCTGTCTGACATACTTGTGTAGATTTTAGGTCCGTCTGCAAATTCTAGAAAATGTTGAGCTTAACTGAAGAAGTAAGGATTTATATAGTCGATCCCAACTTGTTTGGAACTGAGGCATACCTGTTGTAAGCCACTGATGAAGTTGTGAGCATTTGCTAACTCAGCAGCAGCTAATATTTCTGCTTCTGTGGCATCACTTTCTTTTCCATATGCTATATTGGCTCTGATTGTGTCATTGAACAATATAGGCTCCTGGCTTACTAGTCCCATTTGCTCTCTCAACCATTTCACATTCAGTTTTTGAATTTCAAGTCCATCTAATGTGATTAGGCCTGAATCGGGATCGTAAAATCTTTGCAACAAGGAAATAACTGTTGATTTTCCGCTCCCACTTTCTCCCACCAGAGCAACCGTCTAACATAAAAGATAACATCTTTTCATCACAATTGTTGTCAAATCGCGTAACAAGACTGGAAAATGGTTCTATGAATAATGCATTAGAATTTACCTCACCAGAGCTAATGGATAGGCATAGATCTTTTAGGACTTGAGCCTCAGGTCGACTTGGATAATTGAAACTGACATGTTGAAACTCAATGTTTCCCTTCACATTGTCCAATATCATTCCTGAGTTATTGTTCGAGTCTATCTTGGATTGTCGGTCAAGAAGTGCAAAGATTGAAGATGCACCAGTTTTGGCTTTGGAGGAGTCGGGAGCAAGGCCACCTGATTGAGAAATCGCGGTAGCTGTCAAGCTAAGACCATAGAAAACCTGAAATTCAGAAGTAGGAAAGTTAATGACAAAGAGAGACTTGACATAAGTTTTATCTTTAGCTCTCGAGCCTTACCCGAAAAACCTCAGCAAATGTGACCGTACCGGACTCAGTCAATAGAGCACCAGCATAAAAACTGGCAGCATACACAGAGTAAAAGCAGAACATTGAAAAACCAAAACCTGCAGCACTCAATAGCCCTTCTTTTATTCCCGCTCTAACTGGACCTTCACATTTTCTTTTGTACAATTGCACCACCTTCTCTTCAGCAGAGAAAGATGCCACTGTTCTGATACCTCCAACCGCTTCATGCGCAACTCGACTTGCATCATCATATAGTTTCTACAAGAAAACTTTACTTGCATAAGCACTGAGTGCTAATTTTACTTAAAACATTTTGTTAGAAAACAGAAGTTTGGAGCTAACCTTAACATCAGCGCCACCACCATTAGTGTATTTCAAGCGCAGATATCCATGTAGTCCAATTAGAGGCACCATAACTATCATTATGAGTGTCATTTGCCAGCTTGCTTCAAGTCCAATAACTAAACCAGCTACAGCTGTTGAAGTGTTCTCAACAAGCAAAGCAAGTGACTCTCCAAGCATACCTCGGACAGATGCTGCATCTGTAGATAGTCGGGAGCCAATTGCACCAATCGAGTTCTCCTTTCTGTCGAACCAACTAATCTCCATGTAAACTAATTGCTCGAAGCACATTAAGCGAATTCTCTTGATTAACTTACATCCTGCTACAGCGAAAAAGAACGTCCTCAAGGGTTTTGCTAGTAAAGATGTCAATCCTAGACCAAGAAATAACAATGACCAAAATCCTGAATGCTTTCTGAGTTCATGAGCTGGCTCATAGAAAGTCTTAATAACATAAGAAAGAAGCACCCCGAAAATTGGTAATATTAGAGCATTGACCACTGCAGCTATGCAACCAAGTAATAATTCTGGAAGCTCTGGTCTGGTCATTAAGGCCAAGCGATAAAACGTGTTATCTTTATCCTTCCTCATTATAACTGTTGAATTAGGATCATGACATTCACCAACTGCTTTCTCTGCTGCACTAACTGAAAAGGATACCGGATGATGGCTGATATTCTCAACTTCCGATGAGTGCCTACTTGCTGATCGTGTCACAGGAATCTGCTGATTTGTGATTATCTCTTCACTATCCAGTTCATTTGATTCTTGCTCTCCTGAATATTTGCTAAGTTCTTGCAACTGTATAAGCTGAACATATGCTCCTTCCTTTTTTCTCATTAGTTCCAAGTGGGAACCTAAAAGTTTGGAAGGTATAAGAAATCAGCATTCTAAAAAAAAGACGAGATTCGCCAATAAACAAACATACATGCATTTCTGTTGTCTTCTTTATCATCTGCAATCCAATTTGCTGGAAAATATTGTATATTTGACACACCTTTTTCGATGATCTTTCCCTCCTGAAGTACAGCTATTGCATCTGCATTCTTTACTGTACTCAAGCGATGTGCAACGATTACTGTAGTTCGGTTGATCATGACACTATCCAATGTATCTTGAACAATCCTCTCAGATTCTGCATCAAGAGCACTTGTAGCTTCATCCAGAAGTAGAATTTTGGGTTCCTTCAGTATAGCTCTTGCAATAGCAATTCTTTGCTTTTGGCCTCCAGATAACTGACTTCCGTGATCGCCAACTCTGGTATCTAGTCCCTGAATTAGAAGGAATAATGGCAAAAAATATTTTTTATAAGCTATTGAGAAGAACTTTAGATAGCTATAACTTGATGGAAATCAAAATAAAACAACTCTAGACCTGAGGTAATTTATCAATGAATTTGGATGCATTGGCAAGTCGAACTGCATCTTTAATTTCTTCAAGTGTTGCATCATCCTTCCCGTAGGCAATATTATCCTTTATCGTTGAACCAAACAGCACAGGTTCCTGGCTAACAAGGCCAATTTTTCCCCTGATCCACCTAAGCTGAAATTCTTTGATATTTATACCATCAATCAGAACTTCACCAGCCTGTGGATCATAGAACCTCACTATTAGACTGATCACAGTCGATTTTCCACTTCCACTTCGTCCTACTAGAGCTGTCGTTGTTCCCTTAGGTATGGACACAGAGAAACCAACAAATATGCTCTCTTGTGGTCTTGCAGGATAACAGAAATGAACATTCTTAAGTTCAATGTCACCACTAATGTCAACAAGTTTCCGTCCTTTCATATCATAAGGATCTATGACCGGCTTTCTGTTTATCGTCTGAAACATTTTAAACGCTGCAGCCTTTCCAGCAGCAAACGAATGCAAGCATGGAGATGCCTGTCCTAAAGTACTGCAATTACAAGGAAAACAAAGAACAAAAGACCAATAATAAGCAGATATAATTTAGAAAAGTAAGGCTTAGTATATATATCAGTGTCATCAATACATGTTCTGTAACTTATTGGTTTGTATACCATATCTGTCAGTGTAGCCTCCGGCCCGTCTTATGGGTGAGAGAAACTAAACGTACAAAGAAAATCCAGAATAGAACTTACAAGGAGCCGGTCAGTGTAGCCATCATGACATTCATCACATCTCCTCCAGTATAGTTGTGTTCCAAAATCATTTTTGCACCATACCATATTGCTAAAGCATAACTTGAATAGAAAACAAAAAAGAAAACACCCATACTGATCCCTGAAACCAAACCTTCTTGTACACCAGAATAGTAAGCTTTGTTCAGAGAATTGTAATATTCAGAAATAGCTCTTCTCTCCCCAGTATACGATGCAACCTGCACGACCGATAACACAACTTAGTGAATGAAAACTTTTGCCAACAGTTGAAAATTGAAAAAAAAAAGCGTCTTTTTCCAATTCTTCATACAGTTCTAATTGAGCTTATTGTCTGTTCAACCACAGTTGCAGCTTCTGAATAAGCAGTCTGTGCACGCGATGCTAGTTTCGTCAGAAGGATAGTCAAGACAGCAGAAGATAGGACAAGTGGAGGAATCGAAGATGACAAGACCAACGCCAGACGCCACCCCTTAATAAAAGCTATTACTAATCCTCCAAGGAATGTTGCTAATATCTGGATAAATTTTCCAACCTGCAGTTTAATGTGAATGCAGGCTAAGTCTTCTAGATATATCAAATGGTAATGATACACATAGGCCTGTCTTGAAGAAATACCTTTTCGCCAATGGCATCTTGAATAGTAAGAGTATCACTAGACAGTCTTTCGATAATGACACCAGTGTTAGTCTCCTGATCGAAAAATCCAATATCTTGTCTTAAGACAGTTTTCAGGTATAAACATCTGATTCGAGCAGCCTGCCTTTCCCCCGTGACCGTCCAGCAAGTCACCTCTGAAAAGATGCTAATATGAGTACTCAGTTTTCTTGGTCTTAAAGAGATACTACTTTAACAATGCCATGAAAACAGAAGCAGTTATATCGTCATGACAAGTATACGTACGTGCAAATGTAGCAAGACCTGAACCCAGAGCCAGATAAATGAATTTAAGGCTAACCTGAAAAAATAGGACAGAAAAGCAAGCATTAAAATGAAATTTGTCCATTCATCAGAACTTCTTCAGCTTAAAACCCCCGTATCAATTCATGACAGATGGATTGATATGGGGATTTTAAGATGGCAAGCTTCCGAAGAAGGGTGCATATAACACCTTAGGCAAATCCAATATCAGAAGGGGAAAGGAAAGTGAAGTTCTATATAAGACCAAATACAAATGTTCTGGTACAAGCACTTTTAGGCTCAATGTGGCGTCACCAAGGGACAAATCCGCAAGGTATCCTTACATGTCATGAACTCAAGATGTCACAAATATGGTATCAAAGTTAGACTCCTATTATGGTGGGGAAAAACTAGGATGCTATATCCTTAAGGGGGTATATGATGCCGAATGAGGACGGGTCGAGAAGAGGATTGGCAAGCTTCTGAAGAAAGGGAACAGAATAACACCTTAGGTAAATCACACATCGGAAATGAAATGAAAAGTGAAGTGTTATATGAGGCAGAGGACAAGTAAACATGGTACGAGCAACTTTGGACTCGACATGTCATAGCCTAAGGGACAAAACGACCATACATTCCTAGAATTTGGACTATGACAGATAGATCATCAAGAAAACATAACCAGAATAGCATTCTATTGGAAAATTCATTGTACCTTAGAAACTTCACCAACAACTTTTTCGTTATCCACGGTCATTCCAAAGGAATCAACTATCTCTCCAAAAAAAACAGCCATCATCGAAAAACTAATTCCACTACCAACAGCTGCGATCGAACCAATAATCATCAATGCATGATCTATTGTATCAGCAAAAGATAACAACTTATAGTATGGAACTTCAGCAGCAGCAGCAGCCACTTTCTGTTTCTCTGTCTTGTCCTGTACTCGTGCACAATTTGAGCCATCTGAGGATACTATAACTTTATTTTCCATGTTATCGATGCCTCGTTGAGTAGCATTCTCTTCTTCCATCATCCTACTTCAACCTGAATCTCCAACTATCAGCTTATTACTAGCAATATGATCAGAAAAGAACATAACTTCAGTAATATGGTCAATAGCTAATAACAATAAAAATATCCATCTGAGGCAACATGTTGAGCATAATAACAAGAAAATAAAGATTTTGAAAACAGCTAATAATTAGGATTATTTTGACTGTGTCAAATGAAAAAAATGCATACAATTGAAAAATGAATCAACTCCAACTACTTGCTACTCTTGCAGTTGAAGACTATGTTGCTCGGACTCTTCAGAAATGTTGATAGGTGTGTGTCGGATCCTCCAAAAAATAATGCATTTTTGGTTAAAACTTGTCTTTTGCACAATTATCACATACAAAACCATGGTTAAAACGTCTTTATTTTAAGGGGGAAAAGGTCTGATATACCTCTCAAAGTTTGTGATTTAGGGTTGATACACCCTCGTTACGCTTACCATTACCCAAATAATAAATTTTGTATAGTACAGTAAAAATATATTTGTCATAGTTCATCCAATAGATGACACTTCCTCTTTCAAACATATTAAAATGATTCATGTTGTAAATAAAAAACTAAATTACTTTAAGAATATCTCTTTTCTTAATTATTTCTTTAGACTGAAAGTGAGATCCAAACAATGGTTAATTGAAGGTAAAAGAAGAAATGTTATTATCACATCATGTGTTGAGCACTATTAACAATCATTACTATCAACTATAATTATGTATCGTCAATTATCACTAATCTATCAGTCAACACCTCTGTAATTATGTATCGTCAACCATCACTATTAGTCACCACCACAGTTATTATGTATCACCAACCATTACTATCAACTATTATGATATATCGTCAACCATCCCTATCTGTCGTGATTATATTAGCTTGCTTGTTTTTTCTTCTCGTGGATCCCACTTTTTCCACCAATTGAGCTTAATAAAAGTCAAACATAGAAATTAAAAAATAAACCTTTTACCTTAAAATTCGAACATAAAAACAAGAAGTGCGGCAAAATTATAATAATTTTTTGATAATATTTTTTAACAAGGAACCTAGTAATAAATAGCTAGTTGTGCACCCAATACACGCCACATGTGTTTTCTTCGTTATCGTTAAACAAAAATACCTTAAAATTCAAACTTGTAATGTACGCCTAACATCTAACATGTATAACATAACACCAGTTACATGTTGTATCATTACCATAGAACTAAAACCTCGAAGGTCAAACCGGTGATCACATGCACTTAACACATGTCATGTGTTGCGTTCTTATTGAATCATAATACGCAAAGTTTAAACTAAAATCGTGTGTTGCATCCTTATTAAGTGTCCGTTTGGATTGACTTATTTTAGGTGCTTTTAAACCAAAATAGTTTTTAAGCAGTTTTGAAGTGTTTGGGTAAAATAACAAAAATAAGTCAAAAGCTATAAGTTAGAAATCCTAACTTATGGCTAATCCTAACTTATGGCTTTTGGCTTATAAGTCATAAGCCAAAAGCCAATCGCCCTTGTACTAAACTAAAATCCTAGAAAAAATAATTGAATTAATATTATATTAAGCTATAGAAAGTCAAATTAAATAATTATAAAATTATAATTGGTTAGTTTAATTAGTTATAACTTTGATAATTGGACTCATCAACTTTACGTCAACGTCATGTGCCCAAATTAATGAACTTCACATGGAAGGGGCCATCAATGGAGCGTGAATGCCATGTGCACAAACACTTCTAATCAAATTTTTTTTTTTAAAAAGAAAAAGAGGATGGGGTGTGGGGTGGGAGTAGGGTGGGGGTGCATTGTTTTCTTGAGTCGATAATTTATTGGAAACAACATATCTATCTTACGAAAGTAGGCATAGATTTACGTGTACACCGTCCTTCCTCAACTCCATTATGAGACTATATTGAGTATGTTATTGTTATTATTATATAACGCGTTATATTAAAAAAGGGATCAAAACATATATTTTTATCCATTTAAAGTATAATGCGTTGAGTCAATATATCACAAGAACCAAACTCAAAATTTATGAATAGTTAAAGCACCAAAAATGCTACTGCCTCCGTTTCAATTTATATGACATTGTTCGAATTTCGATAGTCAAACAATTTGTAAATTTGGACATGAAATCTCTAATTTTTTTGAAATAAAATTTACATATTTGAAAGTTACGTAACAAGTACTATAAGTCACAATAATTAATAATTCAAGATGTATGAAAACATTATGATTAGAAAAACCTTATTTGAATATCGAAATTCGAAAAGTGTGAAGTAAATTTGAATGGAGGAAACATTTTTAAAAAAATGAAAAAGAGATTACATAATGAAACAGAGCTATTCTCACGGATCTTGCCTGCCTTTCATGGGAAATAATATCTTTACTTTAAAACAAATACTGTATTCTATCTATATGTGACACGTACATTCTATATAAACCAACCAATTTTTGTGTTCTTAGCCAATAGAAATTTAAATATATCACATAGAATAAGATCATATAGTAAAACACAAAAAATATTTTCACGATTTCATGGCAACTTATCATCGTGATGGAAAATCTAATTCATGGGTTCGAACAATCACATCTCCTTTCAGAAAGGCTCGAACTTTATTCAATCAAGAATCATCGAGGGATAAGAAGTCGCATCAAGAAGGTACGTACGTACGTACATTTAGATGTGAACATGTTGATTCTATATGCTGGATTTATCTTTGTTTATTAGCGATTCGTTGGTTTTGTGAGTTCAATTGACTCAGACATGTGCGAATAGCTATGTTGATACGTAAAATCATAGTCATTATGATCGTGCTAACTTTAAATTCTCGATCCACCTGTTCAGGGCCGGAGAACCACATAGTAAATTTGCAAGTGGAAGTAATGGCTTGTCCATATGAAGATGTTCAAGTGATGTGGTCAATTTTAGACAAGTCAAACCCAAGAACTTGAACTTGTTTTTTTAATTGGATAAGCTATCAAGAATCAAGCAATTTATGTACATAGTTGCTAGTTGTCTTGAAGTGGAGCTTCAGAGTATCCGTAAAGTTGTCGTTGTACGATCTATAGTTCAGGGGTTCAAATCGTGGAAGCTGATGCGGCCCTTTTTCAGAACTTTCTGTAAATACAGAATGTTCTGTGTACTGAACTACTTTTTTTTTAGTTGCTAGTTGTCTTGTGGATGTGGTGGCCATACTCTTTGACACCCAAAAGCAAGATTTGGAAAATTTGTTAATGCTTCTTAGTTTGGTTAGGTAGAAAAAACAAGTGACAAATTGGTTGTTATTCAAGTTATAGACTTGTTTTTTATGCCAATTTGTTTGTTTTTTTAGTTCAATCCCCATGATCATTAAATATCATGGAGAGATTTCAACTGTATTTGGAATTGTATTGTAATTTTACATTAAAGGGTTGTTTGGTTCACAAACAAATTATGCAGTAATTGTTTGTGTGATGAAATAGTAATGATATGGTTATTATGATGTGGTCAAATAATGAAGAAATTATTATGTAATGATTAATAATATTTGGAGATATTATCATAATAGACATTCTTATTTTCATATTTTATTATTCGCATAAACTAAATATATAAATTCTCCCATAACTTAACACGACTAAACTATCATTTTTTGCGACTTTCACATTCCAACTATTAGTTGTTCCCTTTTCCTATATGAACTATCACTATCTATATATCAAAACACATCCCGAAGTTGATTAGGCCAACCATGAGTTGTTCCTTATTCTCCTTGAACTATCATCATTTACTCAACTAGGTGTGTTTGAACACATAAATGGTGATAGTTCAGGTACGAAAATGGACCAACTAGATATAATTCAAGTAGAAAAAGGAAACAACTAATAGTTGGTGTGAAATTCGCGAAAAAATAATAGTTCAGATGTATCTTAAACCATTATCTCCGTTGTTTTAGTTAAGTTTCTCTAAATTGGAAAACCAAAGCCAAACTTGAAGTACAAAGGAATCAAAGTTCTCATCTAAGACAAAAATTGCAGATCATACATTTAAAACTCCAGTTCATCTCTCTTAGTCATGAGTTTTACAAACTGGAACAAATAGGAAGATTGGAAAAGGACATTTGCACAACAAAAAATAGGAACAAAGAAACCGCTTTCTAAAACTGAAGGCCGTGTTCTCGTGCAGCATCAGCGAGAGCTTCAATCCGTCCATGGTAAGGATAACCTCCGCGATCAAAGGCTACTTTCGTGATCCCTTTCTCTAGACAGGCCTTAGCTATAACTTCCCCTACTTTCTTTGCCACTTCCTGCAAACAAAAGGTTGTTATGATAGAGCCTTCTGTTCACAAACAGCATAACAAGTATTCAAGAAACTAAATCGATGCAAGAAAATTGCCAGGGGAATCACATCGTAGTAATTGTCTCCAGTAACTCTATGCTCTTCTTGCTGTTTTCTGTTTCTTAGTTCATTTAATCATTTCCGTCTGGAAGAATGGTTGCGATATGCCTAAGAGGTTCAGCAAAGAGATGCAATTAGAAAACCAACCAAATCCTCATAAGATCCTCTTTTCAATGCTGCAACTGACCACACCATGTGATAGTTGATATGTGTTTTATGGAGTAATACCTAATAGCATCAACATGATCCTAATAGACGGAAAGAACTCCATCATGAACATAACAGAGCATATGTATACATGGGAGAGATAAAGCAAATGTTGTTACGTTTGCCACGAAAGAGCAATCAAGAGATGATAACCAAGACAAACAGTGCCAAAAACTGTTCGATATTAACACATTTCAGCTCTAGCTATATAAGAACATAAAGTGCGCTGAGGACAAAATAATGTGAAGCTACATCCACGAGGGTTGGTGTACTTCAATTGATCAGTATTGCAGTTTTAAAAGGTTAGGTGAAGCATGGAGCCTCAAGGAATTTGAAGCACAAGAGCAACAATTTCAGTCGACCTACTCAACAAAGATTACAATAATATCTGCTTACCTTTGCAGGGAAATACAAAAACTGGATAATGAGGACCCAACAACTCTTCTCATATACTTTACTAAATATTACTCCTAAAAGAAAGGTCTTTAAACTTTTTTGAGAAAACATATTTGAGAACTTACTGCAGTGGGACCAGCAGAGTAGTCAAATTCCTCAGAGATTGGTTTCTGCATCGTTGAAGCTGAAGCCAGTGTGTGCATCTTGGAGTCATCAATAACTTGAACATAAATATGCTTGTTGGAACGGAAGACACACATTCTTGGTCTTTCAGGTGTCCCTTCAACCTGAAAGTCGAAAGATGTGTTGTAGAGTTGACTCTTAATGATATATGCACCTTTAAGATTCTTTTGATAATGGCAACAGTGAATTCACCTCTAAGATTCATGCAATAGAATTCATGAATTTACATAAACCGAAAATGAACCAGAAAGAAGAGGACCAAGTAAGGGAAACCAGATCATGACGGCAGGTCAAATAAGAATTACTATAAAGTAGCATATCAATCACAAATATATGTTTACAAGATGAACAAGAAAGTCTATTCCATACAAATATTTATGGAAATGGAATCAAGGAGAAAGGTGATAGAGGGTTCAAGCTATATGATGTATAAAGGCAAGTGCAAGTGCAAATTGTCTTATAAAAATATTTAGAAGATTTGAGGACTTAAGACAGCGAGGAAAAAAAGAGCCCATCCTTTTCAAAACACTTGAACTGGTGTACTTTCTTTGTCTAACGAAACAGTATGCGAAGACAATTCTAAATCTTTCAACAAGCATCTTCATGCCAAACTTTTGATGACTTCCTATATTACATTGCTTCTAAAGAACTATCTTTTCAAGCAAGCATATAACGGTGAACATCAAAGAGGATCCATCTATCCCCTCTGCCCATAATCTATGGTAAAGAAACCACTTACAGTGGAATTCTTGGAAGGAGGTCAATCTAACATATTCCTAAAAATTCTAGGAAGGTTATCAATTTTTCATTCCCCTCCAAGTCACATCATTGGGTTTCAATCTCAACGCAATGCTCTATTTACTTCTCTCCTTTCCTCATGGCTTTTGTTTCCTCTGCTAGTTAAATAGCTCTACCATGCAGCAAATTCATTATTTGGGACTTGTGATTTGTACAACTGTGAATGCACGGAGAACAAATTCAAGACCCCAAGAAGAGATAGCATTGCCACATAGTGGTAAACAGGATTAACCTTAATGAAAACGACTACAACTACGCCTCAACCCCTAGCAAGTTGGGGTTGGCTACATGAATTCCCACGAACCATATCGCTCCATTTTTAAGCAAAAACAAGATTAACCTTATCCCCCAAAAAACAATTGAAAAAGGTTACTTTTTTCATTTCCTCTGCTAGTTAACTACCTCCATTATACAACATTATTTGGGACTTGGTATTTGTACAACTCTCAATGCATAGAGCACAAATTCAAGACACCAAGAAGAGATTGCATCATCACATTTTGGTAAATAAGATTTAACCTCTATGACAACGACTACTACAACTATGCCTCAATCCCAAGCAAGTGGGGACGGCTATATGAATTCTCACTAACCACATCACCACTTAACACTACCCACGTCTCCCCATATAAGCGAAAACAAGATCAACGTTACCCCAAGAAAAGCGCAATTGAAAAAGGTGGGGTTTTTTGTTACCTCTGCTAGTAACCTTCATTTTTACTACAAATTCATTATCCGGGACTTAGGATTTCTACAACACAAAATTCAGGACCCCAAGAGATTGCATTACCAATTGGTAAACAAGATTAACCTATAACAACAACAACTACAACTACTCTGCCTCAAGCAAGTTAAAGCCGGCAATATGAATTCTTATTGACCATGTCGCTCCATTTAAGCAAAAACAAGACTAATCTTACCAAAAAAAATAACCCCCAACTGAAAAAAGTTGGCTTGTTTGGTCCCCTCTACTAGTTAAATACTTCCATTATACCACAAATTCGTTATTAAAGACTTCAACTTTATCCAACCCACAAACAAATTTCATTGCCCCATGCTGGTAAAAACAAGATTAACCCTATTGACATAACTCCATTACACCACGAATTCACAACCCAGAAAGCTTAAACCTCAAACTCAAAGCCCCACATACATACTTCACTGCCCCATGTTACTAAAAACCAAGATTAACCCAATTAACATAGCTTCATTACACCACGAATTCACAACCCAGAATGCTTAAACCTCAAATTAAAAACCCCACAAACAGATTTCATTGCCCCATGTTACTAAAAAACAAGATTAACCCAATTGACATAGCTACATTACACCACGAATTCACACCCCAGAATGCTCAAACCTCAAATTCACAACCCCACGAACAAAAAGTTTGTAAATTGAGTTTACCTTCTTGCGAATACGAATATGTCGAGCAGTTCTGTCTTCCCTTCTTGTTTTGGCCTTAGCTTCAACTGTAAGAACCCTAATTGGTGTTACCAATTTGGGACGAAATTGGAAAGTAAGCTGCTTGCTATCAGCACAAGCGTTGTGAAGAAATGAAAGTGAAAATGAAGCACAAGACATGGCTTCTTCTTCTTCTTCTTCAACAAAGAGTGTCGCTGTATTTTCTTCTTAGACTTTTTTTGAAGATAATAAAAAGGATAAGATAGAGGGAGGATGAGTATATATATGAAATAAAAAATAAATAAAAAGGAAAAAATATTAAGTAAAAAAAATAAAAAATTATATTTGATAATAATAATTTTTCTACTAATTTAAAAAGTATTTATGAATAAGATGTATATGGCATTTTAGGTAAATTTCTTATTAGAATGGGGAGAGAAAAATAATATATATACATTGTATAATATATAGCTTAGCTTTTGAAACTCAATTCAAAGGTGAAACTAGTATATTAATTTTATGAGTTCTATTTTTTAATGATTATTTTAAGTGATATTAATTAAATTTAAATTTAATATTTTTATATATTTAATGAATTTATTAATATATATTTTTGAGCAAAATTTACTTGATTATGTCACACTCGCATGTAGATTACTAGCTCTGTTCATGCTCATATTACTCATTACTTTTTAAGTAGAGCGTAAAGTTTAATATAGATAAATAAAAATAAACAGAGGAATAAAATATAACACCTTGTTTGGATGATTGTTACTCGTTATATTGTATTATTAGTTTAAATACAATATTTGTTTTAATTGTTATTTCAATTTTATTTTATCATAATTGTTAAATCCATTGTAATTAGGTTACGACAAAAAGTCTCATCTTTTATATAACAATCAATTTTGTGTGATCGCACTGTTACCTATGTACTCTAATATTTTCTCTGTTACCTATTTACTCTAATATTTTCTACTTATTATTTAATAATTTTATTTTTTTCCTTATTCTATCTTTTTACTGTAAACTTACCCTATGTTTTACTTTTCTTGTAAATTTCTCATTTAATTATTGATATATAATACTATATAATGATATATAATAGTATAAACTATTTAAATTTTGTATTTAATAAACAATACAATACGATACAATATGAAACCCGTGGAACAACCATCCAAACACAATGTAAACGGTAAGGGTAAAGATAGGAACAATGAACAAAAATAATGCTATCCAAAGAGCCAACATAAAATAAAATTTGATACTGAATGACACGTATAAACCTTATATTGACTATACTCTTTCCAAAAACACAAAAAAATGACACGTATACCCACGTATTATGCCACATGTCCACTAACCATATCATAACTCTTCTTATATATATCTCAACAAAAAAATTCCACACAAAATTAAATTCAATACAAATTACATTGAGTTAGTTTTATTGTGTGTAACAAAATATTATGGCCTCAAAAAAGTTGATTTGTGTGTTGTTACTTGTGGTGTTATGTTTGTCTAATTTTGGTAGTTGTAAAGAAATTCATGATGATGAAGTTGTTGAACAACAAATTAGTAAAGAAAATGAAAATTCAGAGTCATCATCATGGGCAGGATGGGCTAAAGATAAGATTTCTGAAGGACTTGGTTTAAAATCTAATGATAATGATGATTCTAGTGTTAAACATGCTTCTGATTCAACTATGGATGCTGCTAAGAATGCTAAAGATAAGATTACTGATACTGCTTCAGGTTAGTACTCTCTTTTATACGTCGCAGAGTCAGAATTTTAAGTTTATGAGTTCTGAGTTCTGAGTTCACAGGTTAGTACTCTCTTTTATATGTCGAGCAAGAGTCAGTATTTTAAGTTTATGAGTTATGAATTCATAGTTTTGTGGTGTGTAAGCTTAGTTGGCTCTTAAGTAACTAAATTGATTTATGTTACATTTTTTTTTGGTTCATTTTTTAAAAAAGTTTTAAGTTTATGAGTTCTGGATTCACAGGTTAGTACTCTCTTTTATATGTCGAGCAAGAGCCAGTATTTTAAGTTTATGAGTTATGAATTCATAGTTTTGTGGTGTGTAAGCTTAGTTGGCTCTTAAGTAACTAAATTGATTTATGTCACATTTTTTTTGGTTCATTTTTTAAAAAAGGCACTTGTTATACTTATTTAACTTCAAAATTCTTTCTTTAATTGAAAGATCTAACGAAATGTGATGTCGAATTCAATTGAGATTCATTTCAAACCATAAATTTCAAAGATAAACCTTTTTTTTAATTGAACACCAGTCTATTGTTGTCACTTGAACTCGTGATCAAGAAAGATGTACGCTCTAATAATGAGGCAATTATGAAATATTTACTCACGAGTGAGGGCAAGTTCTTTAGTTTGGTTTATAATTTCTCATGGCTATATGGTTCATCTAGGGAGTCGAAAAATAGTGAACGGTCTTATCCAGTGGCAGAGTAAGAAATTTTAAGAAGGGGTTTAAAATCTGAGAACTAAACACACGAACTAGTGGAAGGAGCTTCGACATCTATTATACATACCTAAATAGTAATATTACACACTTGCATTTATGCCAGATACGAGCTCGTGGCCTTAGGCCTTGAGTTTGTGCCACTTAAAGCTCGTGGCCTTAGGCCTCGCATCCGTCACACAACATCATCACCAAGTCTCAAAATTTAGGCACAATGTAGTGTGATGGAAACATTACTTGATGCCCAAGTAGACGTGCCCTTTGACACGATAGTTTTTTAAAATTTACTATGTCAGGAACTGGACAATACGTAGCAGACAAGACAGGAGATCTGAAGAACGCCGCAGAAGAAGTGAAAAACAGAGCATACCAAACTACCGAAGAAGCGAAAAACAAAGCATACGAAACAGCAGAAACAGCAAAAGAAAAAGCAGCAGAGAAGTCAGAGGAAGCCTACTCAAAAGCAGGGGAAGCAAAAGAAAAAGCCTACTCAGAAGCTGAGAAGGCGAAACACAAAGCAGGGGAAGCAAAAGAAAAGGCTTGTTCAGATGCTGAAAAGGCGAAACACACTACCTCCGAGAAAACACAAGAAGCTTACCACAAAACAGGGGAAGCAAAGGAAAAAGCCGCAGAGAAAACAGAGGAAGCGATGGGGAAAATGAAGGAAACGGGCGAAAAAGCGGAGGGGGAGGCGGAGGAACATATAAATTGGGCGAAAGAAGGATACGAAAGCGCGAAAAACAAAGCGGGAGAGACATTGGAGAAAGCTAAAGAAAGTGTAGCTTCAAATTTGGAATCAGCTAAGGAGAAAGTAAAAGGGAAAAAAAGAGATGAAGAGTTGTAAGCAAGTTAAAGTTGCGCGGACTCTTTACTTTGACTCTTTTACTTTCTTTACTTTCAATGTCGTGTCATATCGGTTGCTACATGCTTGTATTTTGGAGTATCATAGGTTTATATATATATATATATATATACAAGTAAACAGAAAGCTGATGTCTTTTGTTCTGTTTTGTGTTGTAAAAAATGTATTACTGGACTTCTCTTTTATAACAATGATGTTTAGTCTTAGTTTACTTGTGTCTTTTGGGTGTTAAAACTAGGCGGAGTAGCCTTGTTGTTATGATTCACTGAGATTCAGAGCAGCACACATTACTCGTGATGAACAATGTCATGTGCAATTTGCATCACCAAAATTGATTAGCTAACTAGAAATAAGTCTTGTTTCACCCCATCCACAAGCAAAAGAAACATTTTAAAACTGTGTAGAAATCCACACGCAAAAGAAACATTTTAAAACTGTGTAGAAATGTGTATCGCGCTTCTATTTCTTTCGTATTGGTTGAACCAAAAATCAAATTTGATAGTAATAAATATTATAATGAAAATTGTGAAATTGTGTAGAAATGTGTATCGCACTTCTATTTATGCTACTATTTCTTTCGTATTGGTTGAACCAAAAATCAAATTTAATGAAAATTTTGAAACTGTGTAGAAATGTGTATCCACTTCTATTTATGCTACTATTTCTTTGGTTGAACCAAAAATCAAATTTAATAGTAAAAAATATCATAATAATTCCATTAGATAAAACTAGACCAAAAATCAAATTTAACAGTAAAAAATATCATAATAATTCCATTAGATAAAACTAGACCAAATCGATCAACCGCACACTTAAGGCTTAGACCATCAAATTTCAAAGATTACACATGATATTTGGATAAGCTGAGTCGGTCCATATTAACAACTCTACGGCATAATCTGAAATCATTCAATTTTGTTTTTTTTTTAAAAAAAAAACACAGTTTAATATGATTTTGAGTTGTTGATAAACAAATGATAAAAGAGTGTTTACATAGGATTTGACTAACATAAATTAACTTCATTACAATGAGCACTTCTTTTTATAAATTCAAAGAAGTCTAATGTTTCATTAGAGATGAGCTTAATTTGTGTTACTGGACTTCTCTTTTATTGGGTGTTTAGCTATATTTGACAGGGTTTTGACATTGACATCTATCCGGGTGATGCTAAGGCAGCTATATATACACCATATCTAGAGTTTGAGAACTATAGCTGCCTTAGCTATATATACTCCTAAGTTTAAGTAGTGTTCCCAACAATATTTATTTTCTTCATGCCTTGTTGTAGGTTCACAAATACAAGGTTTCTAGTATTGGAAAAGTGAACTATATCTCGACCGAATCATGTCGAGAATATTTCATCACGATTAAAGTTGATAATCTCACTCTACGCACACCTCTACAAACCTTTCAAATCCATGCATACAAGGGACCACATGGAGAGAATGTTGTCGTTCTTTGCAGGAGAAAGACCTGATGTGAGGTATCTATTTTTCCTTTTTACCATTCCATGCCATTGACTCAGCAGAAGACCCTGAATGTTCTAGCAGTCAATAAGAGTAGTTGGAGTAAACAATATAGCTAATTTGCTTTGGTTTGCACCTCTAATTTGACTGCTAATTTTATTTTTTTCCTGGACTAACATGCGGTTGGTTTATCTGCTAAGCTGAGTCATATGACAAGGGAAGACAGTTGAAGTATAGCCTTTCTGAATCTTGTGCTAGTTGAGAACATTAAAGTAGTTAATATTGACTGACCTATTTATGTTTGATGTATTTTGGTTATGTGTATTGCATATACTGTTCTAGTTATATTATGATTTGGATCATTTCACGTAAATGAGTTACAGTATTTATCGAAAAAAATGCTCGATCATAATGAAGTTAATTTCTGTTAGCCAGCCCTTTATATATGTAAACCACTCTAATGATGTGCAGCCTATGCTTTACGATTTTTCCTTCTTGCTATAGGAGATGTTATTTTTGTCTTGTTTATTAAAGTTGACAGTGGAGTTGGCGATGAACAAAAAACACAATAAAAATGATAATATTAAGATATTTAAAATAATTTTTTTTATGAAGCCGGACAAGATGAAGGTTGCCCGTGCGCGTTACCTCTCCTATGTGGTTTGCGAGCTATTGCATAGGAGCGGGGTTTTACCCTGTGCGCACCCAAAGGGTAGCGGCAACGGATTTTCCTTGAAAAAAAAATTGTCTAAAAAAAAAAAGGGTTGCCCGTGCGCGCATATATATGACGGCAATAGTTGGTAAGGCAATGGGAAATCAGCACAAAGTAGTGGTTGAAGAACATTTCATAGTAAAAGACCACACACATTCTATATACATTAAGTTTATAATTGCATAGTCTATACATGTATTTACATATTTATAAAAGTTGATAGGGAAAAGGGTCAGAAATACCCTTAAACTATGTGAAAGAAACAAAAATGCCTTCTGTTTATAGTTTGGCTCAGAAATGCCCTTACCGTCAATACTTTGGTTCAAAAATACCCTCCGTTTGTATTTTGGTTCAAAAATGCCTTTGGCATTCTGTGTAGTAGTAGTAGTAGTTGATGCTATTAGTTAAATGTATCGCAAAGTTTCTATATGCCATTTTCATTAAATTCGATTTGTTTTGTCGGTTGATGAAAGAAAATATTCCAGTGTTTCTATCATGAAGCTTAACAGCTTGTTTGGATGGGTTACCTATTGTCTTGTATCGTTTTCATACAGTGTTTGTTATGACTTATTATTAAATTTCATTGTATCATCTTGTTAAATCCAGGGGAGGGTGCACGTGCACCTGGTAACTTTTTTAAAAAAGTCGTATAGACAGTTGATAAAATGAATATATATTTAGTTATGCACCCTAACAAACAAAATTTCATTATGTCTTGTTCTGCTTTTTATCGACACATTTGTTTGCGTGTATGCGTGTGTGAGAGAGAAGCAACTTACAACAGCCAACAACACTGTATTAATCGCGATGTGCAGCCTGTATCACAAATTAGGGTAGAGAGACGTCTCGATTGGATTATATGATGTTACCTCTAGAAATAAGGTGTGTAAGAGAGCGTGAGAGAAAGAGAAGCAAACTCACATGATTCAGAGGAGTTGAACTAATAGTATGGAAGGAAAGGTAGTGGAGTTTGTCAATTCGATTGATTGGGGACATGCTAAATTGTTATAGAATTATTAAGATATAGGTTTATCGATTATTAATTGTTATTGATGCAACCATTAAGATTTGTTGTAAATATAAAAATATTGAAAATCATTTAGAAATAATGTGACAAATCAAATGAAACATGTACATTAATAGCATATTGCATCTTTGCTCAAAAAGCAAACGCTCACATCTCGTAGAGTAATCAAAAGTTTGAGATAGTAAAAAAAGAAGTATGAATTAGATCATAAGTCAAGAACTTTATATAATTGATATATGAAAAAAGCAAAATTGTTACCGAAACTATTAAATAAGCAATTCAGTATTGATAAATCAATATTTATTAAATTTTGATTTGGTTTTAAACAATTTTAATTTTATAGTTTACAACATGATATCATATGAGTTCCGTTACTTTTAAACGAGAAAATGAAAAATACTCCATTTTACCATAAAACACAACCAGTTGAGATATTAATTTCTTAAAATTGCGCTAATGGTAAACATCAACGAAATTTCATTACCATAAAACACAATCAGTTGAGAAATGATCGATTCCACAGCGTTGAAGAGGCAAAACCTTGACAGAGTAGTATCTGAGACACCGTCGTCCCAAAAATATGAAACATCTGTGACACCGACTCTGACAGAGGATAGTAAGAACGGATCTGATCTGCCACCGTTATCGCCAGAGAAGAGTAAAAACGGATCTGGGCCGTCACTGTTATCGCCGGAGATGAAAATTGATTATCTTGCAGAAGATTTTGACTACTGGTCTCTAACGCCCAACGACGAGGGTTACGCCGAATTCCATTATGGTGAGCTTGAAGACTGCGGCAGTGTCGATGAGATTTTGCCTGATGGCGCTTCGAAGGAGCAACGCCCTGATTTTGTTAAGCTCTTTGGAGCTTACGACCGTCAGATGTTTAATTCCAAGGTTAGCTTCCTATTACTTTTTTTCCTTATTAAAAACTTGTTTAAATGATTATATCGTCTTGTTAGTTTAAATACAATGTATGTTAAAAAAATGTTGTTCTTTATTTTTTTTTATACTGATTAATTAAAATGTATATATTCCTAAATTGCAGTCTGAATTACTAACACATCACATATAATGATTATACATTTTAACTGTCCATGAATATGATGAATAAGTTGTTGCTTAGAATGTCTATATGTTTTACCCTGCAATCTCTCAATCTCATAGTATTAAAACCAAGCTCCAACTCTATGCTTTTTAATGTGGTGCTAAATATTCCGCTACCTATGCTTATAAATAACTTGTGTTGCTATTGGATTGAATGTATTTGGTAACGAATTTTCACTCTTTCATAGGTGTTTGGCATTTGTGACAGGGTTTTGACTGTTATGATTATCCCTGTGGGACTTTGGGTACCGGTATACAACCAATTCAAATTCAAAATTTAGATGCTCACAAGATTGAGAAAAATTATGGAACTGGCTATCCACCAATACAACGAGGAAGAGTGCAATATATGTATTTGGCCCTATGCAACCCTTGCTTTGTGTGATTATAAGTCTCCTTCATCCCTAATATATTGACTTTCCTGGTAGGTTTACAAGTATAAGGCTTTGAAGATTGAGAAAGCAAATTATGAGTTGACATCATAATTCCAAAATTACATGACTGTTAAAGTTCTAAATATCACTTAGGCTTAGACCATCAAATTTCAAAGAGTACACATGATATTTGGATAAGCTGAGTCGACCATATTAACAACTCTACAACATAATCTCAAATAATTCAAATTCTTAAAAAAATGATTAATATGATTTTGAGTTGTTGATAAACAAATGATAAAGAGTGTTTTTATCTATAAAGGATTGAGTAACATAAATTAACTACATTACAATGAGTACTCTTTTT